AGAATTCGATATTGATACTATTCGATTCGATATCCCTACTATATAAGAATTCGATATTGATACAACTTTTAATGTTGTGTGGAGGTAGTGGCAATAGGTAATACATGTGGCAAACGGTAAAAAAAATCCAAAAGTCCTTTTTGTACAAATAGTCCGCCGTACATCCCCCTCGGGTTGGATATCCAAGCTGTCCTCGTAGACAGAGAAGACTCTCTTTAAGAATAAAAGGAATCGGCACAATCTCCTCGCATCATCTCGTTTCTCATTATAATATTTCACCCTCAGACTTGGAACCATGTCCTCATCAATTAAAGCACCATCCAGAAGCCTGGATCAATTCGAGGAGCTCGTCTATGAGTACTCCGCATGGATGGGCCAACATGATCAGGAGGTATAGTACCACCCTCACCTCTCAATAACCCCAGATCGAAGTCTAACCAAGCGTCCAGCATTGGGACTTTGATCCCCGCGCCTGCAATCTCCGCTTCGAATCCGCTACCCGTGGCCCCCCAGCACAAGTCTCATACCTTCTCACCGTAGCCCCTAAACACTGCAATTTCTCGGGTAATCTGCACGGCGGGTGCGCCGCCACGATCATCGATGTCCTCTCCACCACTATCCTCCTGGGCATCTCGAAACCAGGTTTCTTCTCCCTCGGTGGTGTCAGTCGCAATCTCAAGGTCACTTATCTGCGACCCGTGCCGGTGAACACGGAGATAAGACTGGTATGTCAAGTTATCCATACGGGGCGCCGGTTGGCGCTTTTACGTGCGGAGATCTCGAGGGCTGATAATGGGGATCTGTGCGTGCTGGGGGAGCATGAGAAGGCGAATACTGATCCGGAGTCAAGCGGGAAGATGTGATGTGCGTTCTCCATTTGTCCCGGACTTATATAGATAGCTTGTTAGTATTCTGCTCTATCATCGAAATTCCGGTGTGCTAGAAATAGACTGGGGCCATGAAACTTGGCTCTGACGAGAATCGATTTCCTTACTGCGAGACTGAGGTATTATAACCAATTCAATTTCCAGCCTATTGACAGCAATTATGACCAAGAATTTGCCCGCAAAGCCGCGCTGAATTTCAACATATTCCAGGTGTGCACTACCGCAGCCTGTCAAAACAGCCAGAAGCAAAGCGAGTGTGTGTGTGTGTGTGTGTTCCCGAATGCTAATGGTTCATGGTGGATGGCAATGACGAACAGGAATCCAAAAGATATTACGGCCCACTTCAGCAACATCCAAACACGACACTATATTATTGAAGCTTCATGCCGGGCTAAAGCACCCTCACGTCTAATCCTCCGCAAGTCTCTGGTCCTCCCGAAGACCCTCAACAACCAGGTCTTCACCTGTGACCCGCTTGTAAAGGTCCCGCACGTCGTCTGTTTTGACCATTAGCAACTGTGACACGGCGGAAATCTTCACTGAGGTCATACCTGTTGTTGTTTCAAAGTGGGAGGTAGCATCGTAGCTTTTGGAAATGAAGATGTTGTCCTTCTCGCCGCTCTCCAAAGGTTCATAGAGAGGAATGGGAGGACCGAAGAACTTCTCTTCTATCTGGCCCAGACGCTCGAATCCGGGTTCCAGTTCCAGGTGGTGGTTTGCATCAGTCTCAGCGATAGTAGAGACAATGGCGATGTAGTAGCCCTTGGGGCAGACATTGTGGGCGGATGACACCATGGCAATGTAAATGTCTGATTCTGATCAGTAAAGCCTTGAATCCAACACACTTGAACTAGGTCCACTCACCGTGTTTCCTTCCAACCTGAGACTGAGGAATGATCAGCTGCAGCGAGTCGCTGCCATCGGTCTTTTCAATGGGGTGCTTCAGGATGCAGATGGCCTTCAGGAGATACCCGGTGACCCGGACCTTGCCAGGGAAGTAAGACGGGTCCGCGATGATCTTCTTTGTCTTGGTGGTAAACTTCATGGCCTCACTATTGTCCTCGCGATCCTTCATGGTTGCCTTGATTCCAGAGACCTTGCCGTTCTCATCGTACAGAACCTCGTCGACGCTGGTGTTGAGCATGTAGGTGCCACCGTAAATGGCAGACAGACGAGCAAATCCCTGAGGAAGCTCACCCAGACCATAAAGAGGGTAGATGTATGGGGACTTTCCGTACCGGGCCATCGAGTTGACGTACAGTCGGATACGATGGATGGTCTCGACGGCCATCCCATTTGTTGTGATATACCCATCAGATGGGTAAAGCGCCATGGAGTGACCGACAAAGTCGCGGGTGTTGTCCTCGAGTCCGAACTTGTCATAAACCTCCTTCATTGTGCACTGAGCGACGTTCAGACCTGAGCCCTGTATATTAGCAATTGAAATAGATGTAACATTGTAGAGACAAACCCTGGTGAGTAGAGGGGTCGTCCTCCTTGAATTCACCAACCCACTCCAGGAACTTCTTAGCTCTTCTCTTCTCGAACATGCCCATGAGAGATGAACGTAGAGCTTCACCAGCATCCGACGGCACCTTCGCCACAGTAGCCTTGGGGCCCTTTCCTTGCTGGACATAGCTGCCAGCAATCTGCTTGAATTCAAGGTATCTCGTCACATCCGTGGAAACCAAAATATTCGTGAGTTCACCGTTTGCCATCAGCAGCTTCGGGACCAGATCAATATTCCAATCGTTGACTCGTCCATACTTCTTCCAGGGTTCTTCGCCGGGGCGGACGTTGCCGTATTTCTTAAATAGCTGTACAAAACAGACAAGGCATCAGCAGATGTCAAAATAGACTGAATGAACGACAGACTTACAGTTTCAATGTTCACTGAAGCAGCCTCTCTAAAAATCGTGTCAGTAGGATGGGACGTGGTTGATCGGGTAGCTACCCCAGTTCTTACCCTCCGTAGTGATCGTTGCGATCAATGTGGAGCACCTTGTTGCCCTTGACACTGAGAACACTGCACGCAATATCAGTTCTCTATTCTTCAGGCCGAGAAGATAAATCTTATCAAAGTCCTACCCAGAAAGCACACATTCCGTCAACCCTGCGAGGGGGTTTTAGCACTACAGCTGTCAAACGGCGGGGTAATACATACCAGTGCCGAGCACTACAACATCATACTCGGGGGCGATCTCTTCCATGATGAATGGTCGGAACGCGTGCAAAACACTAACAATAAAATAAGCAAGGAGGAGTGGAAGTCGCGTGAGATTGAGAGAAGATAAATATGGAGAGAGGCAGGATACGGAGACACTGAATGTTGCGGTGAGTTTGTAGTTAGCAGATAGTTTAGTCGTAGTGGTCGAAGAAGCTAGTCTGCTGGAAGCCCCCCGCGGATCATCAACCTAAGGACCAGCAATTGGGATTGGGCCCACAAGGGGGTGAGGATAAGTACGCCGCTCGCTGTCTTCATATTAAATGAGCTTGGAATATGAGGCCCACGATGATTGAAAATTAATTGATAATTAATCAAATCACATAAAATACTGACCTCCTGAGTCCTGACTATCCCCCTTTTCAATGGCGCCCGAATCTCAGGCCAAAACAGCTTGAAATAACCTACAGACGCCCGGGGACCTAAACTATTGGCGCTACGGAAATTGGCACCGTGCTAACGCAAACGTACGTTTAAGTAGATAGATGGCGAGTACAAATATGTGCTTGGATGTCTACTAATTGATGGCTTGACAAAATATACGACGACCCTTTCGCAACCAAAGGGATAAACAAAGATCGATTTATAGAAAATAGTACAACTCTACAATATAGTACATTCCCTCATGTGCAAACCATGTCCATACAACATGAAGTCATTGCACGAGCAGCTGCCAGTTGTCAATACCTACTCCTGATTATCCTCGTCTTGTGGGCGATATCCGTTCTTGTAAAGTCGCTTCGCATCTTCCCAAGCGTACCACCTCTCGCGCAGAACGTGCTTGATGCCATTTTGTGTAACGCGGATCTATCATCAGGAAGAGAGATTAGTGAGACGTGCTCCCAAGAATAACATTTAGCGCATCAGTACCGATGGATCCAAGTCATTGAGTACCCATTAGATCCAATTTGCGGGGAAGTTAAAAAAATATGAATGTCTGGACTGGGAAAGGTATGAGAAACTCACGGTTCTGTCTCTTTCACTGGCTTCCCATTCTCCGTAACCCGCTTTCAAACGCTGTCTCTCGAGATTGGACGTAGCTATGCGATTACGCTCCTTGACACAGACCCACCAGAGGCAGTGAAGGTCTTCCCACGACTTCTCCCGAAGTTCCTGAATGGACCAGGAACGGCCTATTTGAAGAGCAACAATTAGCAAAATCTGTGCCGACGAGAAATAAAGGTGAAAACAGGTGGGTGAATACGAACCGTGAGCAATATCATATTCCGGTGTGCTCAATGCCGACCTATCTCTGGGGAAAAACCCCCAGAGTCCGTGATCCGGTGTCGCTTCACGCTTCTCGATTGCCGCGGGGGAGACAGGCTTCGGCAATGGGTACTTTGACACACCCAACTTGAATCTGGGGCCTGTACGGTGAATAGCTGAGACACCGCGGGTCTTGTTCAAGTCACGTCCACGGCCAGCGACGGCGGCGGTCGAGGAAAAGGACGAGCACTGGACCGGGGACCGGATCAAGGAAAAATGGAGAGACGGTGCGAGGTAGGGAGGGGGCAGTTCGACCAGCGGAAAACCCTGACACTGGCGAGTAAGCCGTGCGACCGACTGGCGATGCATATTGAACGAAGTTGGCTGACAGTCACTCCTTGAGGGGAGACCCGCAAGACGAGCTTTTTGCGGCGTGGAATTCAAAGGCAGGAGTGGACCTCCGCGAAAGGGTCACGTGGTATTAGCCGCCATCCCGTTGACAGCGAGGAATATGTGCTACACTCTGTACAACAGTATCTAGTGTCTTAAGCATACAGGGAATGAACCTTGGTTACTATTGTATCTAGCATGAATTTCATCTGGAGGTAGCCGTCTTGAAGTTTCAGGTGATGTCGATTGGAGGTGACGGCCACGGAGCACCAACCATTTCTCGTATATCGCCATTGCTTCCAGCAAGAAACAAGAGGACCTGGGGTCTTCTCATAGGATAGTTAACGTACCACTCTCTTTGCTATCATATAAAAATTCAGTAAACTAACTAGTCTATACAAGCCTTTTTTGGTTATCAAAGTCGGCAGAAAAACCTCTCCAAACTGAAGAGAATTAGGCGGTTAATCCTAATGGCCCGTGCGTTCCCTTCACAAGAAGCGCGCGTTTATAGCCACTCCACCTTCCAGTAACAGAGAAGTAGTCGCCGCATGAGGACTGTGGTGAAGCAACACTGTTGTTTAACTACTCTCTCTAAACTTTCATGATCCCTTGCTCCTTTTCGCCTTACACACCTTTCACTACACAGATTACTCCTTGAGGGTCAGACACTATTATGAACAGGCCAGGTACGTGTGCGTTCAATTCTTTCTCTAGAGTCTTGCTCCGCTATAGCAACGCCGACTGGCCACTTTTGTGCGATGAATCCCTTTCATGTATCATTTTCTCGGCGTCAGGGATGTAGACCCACGGTGCTCGGTGAAGAGGAGAATTTCCTCAGTGATTTTCATGATCCAATTGTCGCCCTCCCACGCTACGTACCCTCGATCATATTCAAGACTTTGAGCGCCATGGACGGACGAGCCATCTGGCTAGCCCTCTGGGCCTGTCTACTAGAGATTGCGCCGTTGCTTTCGATCCACTGTTTTGTTACGTTTGCGCTAATCAACCATTACTACTTTTCAGGACCCGGCCCACAGCCTTTGAGAGGCATGTCTGGCTTCCCCGCACAGCAACAAGCACAGGCTCGAAACGCGACACTGGCCTCGGCGCGCTTGCCTAACGGAAAACTCGGTGCGAATCCATTATTGCTACATCCCGAAGCTGTATGGCATGAATCATTGCTGATCAGGAGTGTTGGCAGGGAGCGGCGCCAACTGGAATTTCAACTTACCTGTTGGCGGGACACCAGGAATACAAGGAAACCAGCAGCGCAACGTTGGAGCTATGGGGACATTTGCACAAAGTCTTAGTGGGGGATCACAGCCTGCTACACCACTTGATCTATCGTATGTCTGACACTTTCTTCCCCCTCGAGAGAGGCGTCAGTGTTTGGCAAATTGCCAGCCCAACTCTTTTTCCCGTTTGATTCCTACCACTAACATTTGTCCTCGCAGAGACTTCCCTTCGTTATCAGGAGCACCTCAGCAATCTCAGACTCCAAACCCAGGGCTAGTGTGGGGTCAGCGTGCCTTGCAGCAGACTCCGCAGAGGCAGCAGCACCCGACATCTCAAGCACCTTCACGCGCCCCTCAGACACAGTCGCATCATCCGCAGCAACAATCACAGCCATCTCACGAAGATGTATTTCCCTCTGGTGCTCAATTCGCAAATCGTTTAGACGACTTTCGAAATGGTGGACAGGGTATTAGTGGTCAATTAGGAGGTTCTGGACAGCCACAGACAGGCAACATTGAGGAGTTCCCCCCTCTCGGACGTAATGTCGCTGCGGATCTCGGCCAAGATCGCAGAGAATCTTTGATGCAAAGCGCTGGACTCGGTAATTTTGGCGGCTCAATGCCTTTCACTGGCGCAAACCAGAACCAGTCTGCTCAAAATCGCAACATAATTGGAGGGTCGATCAATGGACAAGATACTTCGAGAATGATGTCGCCTACAAATGCGGGTTCGGCAGGTATGTTTATTAATTTTTCCCGACGGCGAACAGGGTGCTGATCGCTTTCTCAGCCATCGGAAGCTCACGCTCACCCGTTAACCAAGGAGCAAATGGAGTTCCTGGACCGGAAAAAGAGGTTAGGAGTATCTGCAACTCGCACCCATTCACATTCCCTTGCTAAATTCGGTATGCAGGACTTGAACGTTACTACGATGGCGAATCAGCGTAATTTCACAGAGCAACAGCAGGCGCAGCAACCGCAGGTTGCGGCGGGCGAAGCACAAGACGTCGCTGCAGCAGCGCAAAACACTGAGCAGCCACCGCTTGCTCAGATGAGCGAGCTCGACAGGTTCGGACTCGCAGGCTTGCTCCGGATGATCCACAGTGACAGCCCCGACGTCGCGAGTCTTGCAGTGGGTCAAGATCTGATGACTCTCGGTTTGGATTTGAATCAGCCTGAGTACGTTGTTGCTGTTATGACACAGATGCTTTTCCTTTGCGTTACTAACATCTATGGTTCGAAGGCCCCTTCACACCTCTTTTGCGTCCCCTTTCGTCGCATCCATGTCGGCCGTTCCTATGGAACAAAACTTCTCCTTGCCCGCATGTTACAGTGTTGCAAATATCCAGCCTCTACAGACCCGTATACCCAGCTTCAGCGATGAGACATTGTTTTACATATTCTACAGCATGCCTCGTGACATTATGCAAGAGCTAGCTGCAGAAGAGCTGATGGGCCGCAAGTGGAGATATCATAAGATTGAAAGATGCTGGCTTACACGTGACGAGACGTATCCCGGTCCTGTGGATGTCGAACCTCGCGTCAGCGAACGTGGCGTTTATCTGATTTGGGATCCCACTACCTGGAAGAAGGTTCGGGTATGTATTCTTGGCCCGGTTTCGAATCCATCCTGGAATGCTAACCACATGGTATCAACAGCGTGAGTTTATTCTTCGCTACGAGGACCTGGACAACAGACTGGATCACAACAGGGGTCTTGCGCGCCCTCTTGGATTTCCTCATCAAGCTTCATGATTTCTGGTGGAAGGACAGTTTATGTTGTATAAGCAACGGCGTTGGGTTGACTACCAAATTTCTCTGATGCGGTTCTGGTGTTGTCGCCGGTGTTCTACTCCCGAGCAGTCAGGTGTTTTCCGGCCTTTTGTGGCTTCTATGGGAACTTGGGATATCTGACATTGATCTCTTTTCATGGTACTTTTGTCAGTGTAGACATTTGAAACTATGAAGTGATGCCTTCAACCATAAAAATCCGGGTCTTGCTCCTTATTATAGCCACTTAATCGCAGATGCCTGACCCGCTACCACATACATGTGGATCTCGAGCCATCTTGGATCTTCTGTACTAAGCCTTGAGGGCCGTTGTGACGAGAGCCACCGCCTTCAGAGGAACCTGTTCACTCCCCCCATAGTTATCTTGCAAATATCGCCGCAGCACCATTGGAACATCTTTCTCGTGCAACTCTCGCTGTTCCTCAGTCCAGAACTTTGGAAGCAGATAAGGGATTATCATCCTGCAGACTTCAAGGAATTCACTGATAGGCATGGACGTCTCTTTCGGCACAGCGGTGACTTTGACGTCCCTAAATCCTACCTTCTCCAATTCAGACTGGATGTAGGATTCCGAATCCCAACCGGTACTGTGAAGAGCGAGGAACTCTTCCTGTGTTGGGAATGGGAGATTTCCGGGCATGGTCTCAATGGCGGCTTTCATGATTGGTATCCAGGTGACTGTTCATTGCACTTATAGTCAGTGTTTGCTTTCGAGGGTGAATGTGCTCGATGTCACATACATCTCTGCCATGTTGAGGTTGCGAGTATACCGCCGGATGCGAGGATCCTGAAACACTCTAGCATCATTTATTAGACAGATTCTCTTATGTCTGACAGGAGATCAATTACCTTTCAAGGCGGCGTTGGCGTCTGGGAAGCTCTGGAAACCTAGTTGACGAGGGCGATTGTCAGCATCCCCTCATAACTCTAAATGGTTTCTCGTAATAGCATACCGAAAGAAACAAAAACATGCGTATAACGCGCATCTGGAAGCCCAGTGTCTAGCGCATTTACGATCTTCGTTTCAGCATTGATCCATCCTTCATCTTCAAGCCTCTGCTTAGCATATTCCAACATGCCCTCAGACAGATCACCACAGGTCAATTTCCAAGTTTTCTTTGCTTCATCATCAACTGTGTGGTTGAGTACGCTGGAGACAGCTCCAATCCCGCAGGCATTGTCGAGGACAACCAGCGGCTTCTGGCTGGGATTAGCCACGCCAGAGTACTCGACCAAGGTCTCAGCGTATAGCCCAGTGAGCTTTTCGGTGTACTTGTACCGGTCAGTAAACTCCTTGGCCTGGAACATATTCTGGAGGTAGTCTATCTTGGACATTTTGAAGTTGAAGAGCGAGTATAAGAGATACGACAAAGAGTTTCAAAGATAACAGCAGTTGATCTGGCGAGAAGAGACATTCCCCTTCAGACATTCTGGAGACTTTATACCCCGTCATGATCATATAATCTGCTCATCAGCAGATGCGCCAAGGGCAAACATGAGGGTTTGAAAGTGTCCGATATCTCTCCGCGAGAACCCCGGCAGGTGGGAACAGGGCACTCGTGCGCATAACCGGTAACCTGACTCTTAATACTAACCAGTAAGAGAATCTATTTATCATTCACTTGGGGTTGCATTGGTGCTCTATGTAAGGTTGTTCTCCCTTACTACGTTGGAAAAGAACCTTTGGTAAAAACCCATGCGGAGACATGGAAAAATGAAAATAAACAGCCATTCCTTCCTCTAGGGGATATTTTGAAACCCGCTCTAGTCTCTGAGAAATGGATCAAATAGTTGCTATCTTACTAGGAGTACATAGCAGTGATAGCATTGAATAATGAAGGGCTGACTTTGGGTGTGACAACATGTGGGAGATATACTTCGTACAGATGGAACCATCGAGTACCCTTAGAGCTAATCATGGGGTGGATGATTAAGACTAGAACTGTAGAACTA